TGTTAAGTCAATGGGGTTTTTGGACACTTTTTGCGCGATCGCGAATAGCGGAAAAAAATCGCGGAACAAGGTATTTGCTGCCCCCATTCTATGGCCCACACATTCAGGTACACGCCCGTGTGCGCCGTATACCCGTCAATTCGTTAACGTGAGTTGCAACGAGTTTGAAGTTGAACTTTTTTCGCTCCCCATGTTAAGGCAATGGGCGTTTTGCAGAGACAATTTCATTCGCTCATTATACAAAATTATATGATACGATTTTGTTTAAACTTGCAGGGACTTGTTGAGAAAAGACCAAAGAACAGTTGTATACTTCTTTAAGCTGTGCAAATTCGTTTGTTCTTGTAAGCTCGTTTAAAAATGAAAAATTTTAACATGGAAAGTCAATGGGAGCGTCTTTGTTGCTTAATAACTTTTTACCGTTGAGATATATTTAAGTGAAAAGTTGATAGGTATACAACTTTGATGCTCTTTCCAATGATATATAGAACGTTTTGCAAGTTGTGCCGTTTTTTGAGGATTTGGTAAAAAAGCACGACTTTTACCGAGATTGAGCTCAGACCTTATATGGTCTTGGCTCAGACAGTATACGAACAGGTGACAGGGATACCTCCCATTGAAGGATGCGATTTAATACTAAACTGGTACACCGCTAGAGACCGAAACAGCACAAGCCAGGAACTGAAATGGTGCATCAGTGAGGAGACAAGTCCTGCTTACACCACCGGCGATCACGTGGCACACGTGCAATTTGGCACCTCCGTTGCGGATATATTTTATAGTGAAATATTCAAATGTACATAACTTTGTCAGTTTAAGTCCGATTGGACTAGAATTTGGTGGGTTGATGAATTGTTAAGCGACATTAGCGAATGCGGCACGTTTGTTGCAGTGCGCCACGTTTGTCTCAAAGCGCCATTTTTGCCACAAAGTGCAGAATGTGCGTTATTTTGTCGAAATTGGACGATTAGGATGCGCTGTAATAAGCGATGGCTGCTTAAACGTAGATATGAAGCACCCATTTGCCGCAGGGCGCCATATTTGTCTTAACGTGTCAGTGTTTGCGTTTTGCCTACGGCGGGCGTTTTTGCGGTGTTTGTGTGTTTTTCGGTGTTTGCGTTTGGCGGCGGGCGGCCGTTTTTGCGTTTTTTTTGCGGTGTTTTTGTTTGGCGGCGGGCGGCCGTTTTTTGCGGCGTTGCGGTTTGCGGCGGGCCGGCGTGCGTTGCGGGCGTTTTTGCGGCGGTGTTTTCGTTTTTTTGCGTTTTTTTTTTGTGTTTGACGGCGAGCGGGCGATGCGGGTGTTTTGCGGTGTTTGCGTTTGGCGGCGGGCGGCCGTTTAGCGGCGGTTTGCGGCGGGCGGCCGTTTTTTGCGGCGTTTTTGTAGTTTGCGGCGGGCGGCCGTTTTTGCGGGGTTTTTGCGGTCGCCGGCGGCCGGGCGTTATTGGCGGTGTTGCGGTTTTAGGCGGGCGGCCGCGTTTCGCGGCGTTTGCTTTGGCGGCGGGCGATGCGGGCGATTTTTTGTGGCGGTGGTATTTGCGTTTTTTTGCGGTGTTTGCGTTTTGCGGCGGACGGGCTGTTTTTGCGGCTTTTTTGCGTTTTTTTTCTGCGGTTTTGTGCCTGCGGGCGATTGTTTTTTGGCGGCTTTTGCGTTGCGTTTTGAGCGTGCGTTTGCGAGTTTTGCGGTTTAGCGTTTTGCGGCGGCGGGCGTACAGAGGTGCTTGCTCAAACAACCTGCGGTCCCGCGATGCGGAGCCCGGCATCGCAGATGCTGGTAACCGCAGGTTTGTTTGAAAAGACAAACACTATTAGAATTGTGTTTTCTATTGAAAAACAACCGGAGCGGTCCTTCTCCGGGCTATGTTTAGCAAGTCTGGCAGCGAATCGAGACATTTTGGGTGGGGCCTAAACGTGCATTGCGATTTTCGTAAAAAGTTCAGTGTATGGGCTCTTGGGGGCGATCTACCTGATGGCACCGGTCGCTACTCGCTTAAAACCTCGTGGCCGTGGCACGTGCGATTCCATTTTCCCCATGGGTTAAGTCAACGGGGTTTTGGAACTTTTTGCGCGATCGCCAATAGCGGAAAAACGAGCCAAGAAGGGGTGGTTTTCTTCCCAGCATTTTATGGCAAAAACGTTTGGGTACACGCTAGTGTGCGCCGTATACCCCTCAGAAACTTCGTAACGTGTTCTTTGCACGAGGTCAAAGTGAACTTTTTCGCTCCCAATGTTAAGTCAATGGGCGTTTTTGCAGAGACTTTTTTCATTCGCTCATGTACAAAATTATATGATACGATTTTGTTTAAACTTTCAGGACTTGTTGAGAAAGACCAGAACATGTTGTTATGCTTCTTTAAGCTGTGCAAATTCGTTTTGTGGTCTTTAGGCTCGTTTAAAGATGAAAATTTAACATGCAAAGTCAATGGGAGCGTCTTTGATGCTTAATAACTTTGTACCTTGAAGACATATTCAAGTTGAAAAGTTGATAGGATACAATTTTTGATGCTCTTCCAAGGATATATAGAGCGTTATTGTACGTTGTGCCGTTTTCCAGGTGTTGTCCATCTGAACTTGTCAGTCACGTACCCATTTGACCTTCGGATCCAATTCTCGTAGTCAATTCTGGCGCTTTGTTACCATAGCGAATTATGTAACACCGGTTCACAGTTTACTGACGACGAAGATCCTGCTTAATCTGGTCAATGGCGTTCGAGAACTGCGGCCAAGCCCCGCTGATCTTCAACGTGATTGGTCGGTGGGCGTATAGAATCTCCGTCGTCAGGGAGAATGCGAACACGGGGTAAACCAAGGGGTAAACAATCTTTTGCGTGTGGGAATGGGGAGTGGTGGAATGTGCGGGGCGATGATAGGCGCTGATGCGATTTTTATTATACTTTTATCCTATTATACATTCTGATCATTTTTACGTTCAGGTTTTCTCTGTTGAGTTAACATAAAAAACGGTGTGTTTTACTGTTATGCCAAGTGCCATATTGATATTGAAATTGGGGTACAAGTCAAACATTCACTCAGTGGGGAAACTACGAGGAGCCAAACAAAAATTGGATTAGCCAATCAGCGGCTGAGTGGGCGGGGCGATGACATATATGGTCATAAAATCAGACACTTCATCTTTCAATGAATTTTAGCATCAAATAAAAGATAAGGCATAAGAATGTTTTTAACCACGCAAGGCCTACACTCACCCGGTGCATAATTAACTGGCGGCTCTAATCGCAGAGTTACAACGCAAGGTCAAACCGTGATTGGTCCGTGATTGGCAAATGTGGCGGATTGAAACGGACGCGCCAAAAAAGTAAGCAGTACCGTGGTTTAAAATGTCATTATTTTTATTATTTTGTTTATGGTTTTTTAAATTGTAGTTAAGTTATTATTATAGAATTAAATATTTTTGTTTATTGTAATTAAATTAAATCTTTGAACAATTTTCTTTTATAAAACCAATCCATTTATTGAATGGCCAGCTGATTGCGACGCCCAGAACCTGCAGAAAAGCCGTTTTCCCTATCGCCATTTTCGAGTCAATTCGCCAAATTTTATCAAATCACACCAATTGCTAGTGAAAAATGGAAGCCTTTTCTCTCCAATAAGTGGACGCGATACCGCAAGTACCGGCTTGTCATACCGTTTTTCACACTTAGTAGCGGGGGCTGCATTTATGCCCATATATGGTCATCAAAAGTCCATTTATTGACCAATCCATTTTTTGACGTTCACCTTGTAGTTTCCCCAACTGCACTGGTTTTCTATGGCCTGTTGTGCATCATATTATTGGTAATGTGAATATAGGTACTCCATACACTGCTACTTTTGGGTACATATAAATGTTTGACCTGATTTTAGTTCACTTCACCTTATTTTTTTTTGCAGGAACAGTTATCACACCATTATTGTGCAAAAAATAAGGGTGGTTTAACGCGGCACTCTGTCAGCCACTTTTGGCTTCCATAGACATCAACAAGCCTATACCTCCAACACTACCAGAGGTTGACGTTAGCTCCACGGAATGCGCTGGCAGCTGCTGGCAGCGTGCCCATGAAACACAGCCAGGGGTTTCCTCTGTAAAGTCATTATTGTCTAGGTACATGGGCCTTTAGCAATTGTTAACAGCTATAAAAATTGGAATTAGAAATGTTCAGGTATTATGAGCATCAGCTAAACAGGGAAGCATATTTGGCTACAGCCCATCTTGCAACGCCTCAATGAAATTTAACGAGAAACTTAAATTGAGGGAGCAGCTACATAACTGAGGTAAAGCCCATAAATCCTTGTGGATTTACCTACATACCTGAGGTAAATCCACAAGGCACCTTGAGTTCAAACTATGAAGTGACTCCAAGCGAAATATAGCAGAAATTGTGACTTAAATGAGCTTAGAAATAATCTGCTTAGTTCATTTGAAATGTATTGTTACCCCCTTTCTAACCATGCATATTTTTGTGTCTTGTGAGGTCTCATATAGCAATAAAAATAGAAAAGTTATACAAGAGCAGTGACATGCATAGTTTGCTTGTGTTGTCACAACTTTGTACAATATTTCCAGCTTTATAATATGCAGTTATCAGTCACATTGGGCATCACACATGTATTATTTTTTCCTGCAGGAGGGAAGACACAGGAGGGAACTAGTGACTCATGTTTTTGCTTCTATCGCTTCACCCCTGGGGAATCAGTTCCTACACTCCTTGAATATAATGGTCACCAAGGGGTGCTGTCCTGACACGTTCACTTTCTGTTGAGAAGGTTAGAACAAACACCATGTGTGTCATTTAGTTGCATATATAATGCTTCAATGTTAAGTCTGCATAAAGCCTGGAGTCTGTAGCCACTCTTAATCCTAGGTTGTCGTGACCTTAATCTAGCCTGGGTGGATATTTTGCTGTGCTAAAAGCACGGACTCCGCTACGCCCCAGTGCGGCGGCCGGGGCGCCTCCCCTGGAAGAAGACGGCGCCGGGGAGGGGATGGACACTGTTACACTTGCGGTTTTTTGTGTGGGGTAGCGTATACCCTTCTTACAGGTATTTACTATGGACAATGCATGCGGGTGACCTCCACTGCACGTGACACGTGTAAAACAGAGAGGTGTCATTTTTGTTGTAATGACAATAGCACGGTACAACTTGATTGTGATGACAATAACTACATTATAAAAAGGATGTAGGCACCCACCGGGCAATGTGTTTAAATGTGTCACGGTTGGGGTGCAACTGCACGTGCACATGTGCAGGGTGACGCTTCCAGATGTCGAGAACGGCCGGGCCGATTGTGCTCAGATTTGGCACATCGCTAGAGACCGGTTAGTAGGGTGCCGTGCGCAAGTGGGAACTGAAAATGTCTAAAATAGAGATGTTGCAGCTTGAAGGAAATGCAATCAAACTGTCAATCATACAGTGATACTGTTTTTTTTTTACAGGAGACAAGATTGAAGTGCAGCCAACACTGCATGGTGCTTCTCACAAGAGCTGACCCATTGCTGTTTTTCAACTCTTCTGGAAAAGGTAATATTGGCAGATACTTACATTGTTTCACAATCTACGTTCTGGTATGGGTCTCCCCTCCGCGGACCATCTGGTGGGACCATCAACCGCTGGGACACGACCCAGCGGTTGTAGTGGTCTACTATTCATCTATAAATATTAAAAAGTCCGCCGCCGTCGGGGTTACGCTTAAAAAGGCTTTATGCGGCGCCGTCGATTGACGCACGAGGGTGAAATTTTCACGGCTCGTGGGTCGCGTCATTCAACAGGTCGTATTAAATCTTGGGCACGATGCGGCCGGGGGTGCGCCCGTGGCGCGTGCTCATGTGCGCCATAGGGTTAGCATTAGAATCGGCAAAAACAGGCTGCGGCGGCGTGACGCCCAAAAACGGATATTGCGGCGCCGTCGATTGACGCACGAGGGTGAAATTCTCACGACTCGTGGGTCACGTAATTCAACAGGTCGTATTAGATTTTGGGCACGATTCGGCCGGGGGTGCGCCCGTGGCGCGTGCTCATGTGCGCCATAGGGTTAACATTAAAAACGGCAAAAACAGGCTATTGCTCCAGATGGTCCGACCACTACAACCCTATATGATGCACTCTTGGCTGCATCCCCACCCCACCCTTTCCCCTTACAGTATGAAGTATGAATAACAGTGATTTTTTACTGGAGCTGCAAAGTGTGCCTTTGAACCACCTTATGATATACTAGTATCTAAAGTATTTGTCCATCAGGATCAGTTATCTAATGGCAGTAGACTGTTGTCTTCACATACTTCATATCTATTTTGGCTACTGCATTGTGTTCTGTAAAAAAATATGGAAAACGTTTCGGATGTATTTTTTAGTGGAATGCTTCTTTACAGATCCCGAAAGAAGATAACAGCTTGTTTTCTTCACCGCCACCAGTCTACCTGCTCTCTGCACACTCGGCAGAGCGCGGCAGGGCACCCCACGGAGCTGCACTAGTCACATCCGGGCCCCACGCCGGTCGACGGCCGATGCGATGGAGGCACTACTCCGAGCTGGACTGGTGGCCGGCTCGGAGCTGGTGGATGTCGACCGCGGAGCGGCGATCTACTCCTTCCACCGGGGCCGGCAGCAGGAGCTCCAGATGTCCTTGTGCCACCCGTCCGGCCAGGCCTCCATCCACCTTGTAGAGGCGGAGCGGGAGACGGTGAAGCTCACGGCTCCGTTGGAACATGGCCGCTGGGAGGCCTGCGGCGCGGACGACGGATGCGGCAGTTGGTCAAGACACGGCAGCGTACTCGAGGTGCTTCTCGCCTGGAGGACGCAGGCGAATCGCGTTATCCGAGCTGTGCCTCGTCATGGTGCGATGAGCCTTAATAGACTAATGCATATTCTTCCTTTGGCTGTAATTCATTTGCTGCTGCCCGCTGGGCTAAGGAGTAACTCTGGGCGCCTACTTTGGGCAGACGCTCGTCCAGTGCCGCTCTTCGTTTGCCGCACATATCTTTATTTATTCTTTGTTACAATTCCGTCTTTGGTCATTTTTTTTACCATGGGGGCACTTGAAAGTTTTGTTTTTAAATCTGTGGACATTGAACCTGGAATCGGTTTTTGTCGGATTTCGGTTTTGTTTTTGCACTGTGGAAATATCTCGTTCAATATTTTTTAAGATAGGGCGTGCATAAACTTTTAGTCTCATTACTCCTCTGTGCATCTAAATTCTAAAGTACTATAATGTGTATCTCAAGTGTTTGGTGCTGTACTGTTATTATTTATGGTTAATCCAGTGCTGATTTATGGTTAATCCAGTTTTTATTCGATTGAATCGTTGTGTGTAATGTGCATGACATCCGCGTACCGCCTGTAGCAGTGTTATATATTTTCATTTATGCTGGAAAATAATAATTTTCTTGTTCATTGGCTTTATTCGATGACAGAGACGTGCCAGATGACTGGGGCTGCGACTTGACTTGGTAGTTGTTAACGTTGCAAACTTCAACCATCAAGCATGATGTGGAAACGTCACATTCCGTTATCAAATCTTCGTACCGTAAATACTGAATAAGATCAATACTAGGCTGGAGCTTGCTAGAAAAACCGTGCATTGACAACGGCGAGTGGTGGACCTGAGTAGCGGCCGGGGCTACCCGGACGGTTTCGTCCTCCAGGTGGAGTCCCAGACTGGTGACTGGGAGGGCTTGCACCCAGGCGGCGGTGTGGGGCTCTGCGGCAGCAAGAAGACGCACCCGGACCACCTGGTTTGCCCCATCCAGCAGACACTGCTGAGACGTCTTAGAGAACGCCTCATCCCAAGCGCGCTGCTTGCCCTCTTCTGACCATTAGTTATACCACGGATCACCTTATGTGACACCTTATAGGCCCGGGCAGTATGTGATCTGTGGTTATACCCAAGTCTATGTTAACTTATTTTTTATGCGTATTCATACCTATGCTCATTTTATTTGCCGCATACGCTAGAGCAATCTTAGCATAGAAATGAGTATTGTATAAATTGTATTATACCTATAATGGGTATGAAAAATTTTCTAGCCTGAATCTTCAATGCAAAGCAATGTCAAGAGTATTACATAAATAAGAGTTTTACGCTTAGGCCAAAACTTTTGTTTTTTGCTTATTTCTGTTTATTAAATAAAATCAATTTTTTACAAAAATATATGTTAACATATTCAGCTACATTTTGTCAAAATTGTTTAAAGATATCAATAAACCACGATGGCGGCACAACGGAGTTCTATAGCCTTGGGCACAACTCAAACACCAAGCAGAAACTGTCACGTGACTGCCTGGCCCAACCTTATCTTTAGGAATCGTAGGAATCTATGGGAATCTATAGGAATCTTGTCGGGACGTCGGGACCCTTGACGGATCCGGCTGTTGATTGAGGTGTCAGTTGTGATAGAAGTGATCAGATATTATTTCGAAAAATTCGTCATAAATTGTTGCTGTCTAATGGTTTGCTAGAAGAGACTTGAAGACTCGGGAAAGAACAGACACGGTGAGTTTGACGCTGCACTGCCACGCTCGACCATCTTCGTCGGCTCGACTAACTTGTTTAGCGTCTGTTAACTTTTTCGAAAGGTAGTTAGGCAAGAAACATGAATTTCGCAAAAATCGTCCTTATTGATAGTCAAATGGTCACTCTGTTTTGCAACAAATGACTCCGAGGATAACAGATTCTGGTTATATGCTCCGAAAAATGCGCATCTGAGACAAACGCGAGTTGTTTACAGCTTTGATTCACGTTGCTAGGTGGTTGCTATGGAGCTATGGATACTTCCTTGCAGAGTAATTTGCATTTTGGTGTCTTATGTGATATCGACATATGCCACCCCTAATAGCTCAATTAATGCTGATAACAGTCCGGCGCACTGTGGTATCTCCGATTCATTTATGGAGACATTTCTTTTATTGGAAACGTTTCCAATTTTGACTACTCTTCTGTTCCAAAAATGAAAACGCTTGCTCCATAAATAGAAACGCTAACATTTCCGCACAAATTTTCTTGCCAAGGGTGGCTGGATTTGATGTAGGTATAACCACTGTTTTGCGTAAAACAAGCACGGATACACCAAAAGCACTTGTCTTCTTGCATGGAAAGCTGTCGTATGCATTCAAAGTCACCACCTAAAAATGCTCCTGAATCGTATCCATTTATGGAGACTTAGTTTCCAAAAATGGGAACGCTGACGTTCCAAAAATAGAAACGCTGAAGTTCAAATGTGTGCAAATTTAGCTTAAAGGAACTATCCCACCTTCTAAAATGTTGTTAAAACCAGTTAAATTGTGGTCGACTTTATAGATTGGATGATATGTGACGTCACAGCCCAAAATTACCTCCTTCCCCAGGTCACATTACTGTCATAAAGCTGATTCTTTTTACTCTGTAGGCACTACAACAAAGTTCAGACCAAGTTTTAAGTGATTTTTTAACTAACAAACCCATTTAAATCAGAATGACTAAACGAGGTGACGTCACACTAACGGTCGCTCCATGTTGAAGATAGGGCCTGGCGCAAGGCCCATTTTCAAATGAAGGGAACAAATTTCTTCAACACCAAGAGGCCGCGGGGGTTGCAACCTAGATAGATAGTGGTTTCTGAACCTCGCCGCAAACTTGGCTATCTCAACTCAAACCCCATGTTAAAGGTGGGATAGTCCCTTTAAATGTGTTTTTTAAAATTCACATGCAACTAAAAATTGATGTTTTGGGACTGGTTTAGCATCTCGGCTCTCGGCAGTTACCTTGGACGTCGGGTTTGATACTAATATATTATGCGCCGCAACTTAGCACATTCAAAAGTCAACTAAAACTAAGATTTCCTAGAAACTACTGGACAAATGTGGTCCAAAGTGGGCAGTACATAAAGTGTAGATATCATTTCAATATATAAAATTGATATCAATGTTACACATGAGCTAGAATGAATAAATTCATCGTCAGAATACGACGGTATTTGGTGTGACGACGGTGCAGACCTTATTTGATTAGAAAACTTGTGAATTTTTTTATCACGTCAACATGTTATAAGCATCGCCTCGTTTGTCGACTTTCGGTTTCTGATCGGAAATTCGGAGAAGAGGAATATAAACTAGAATGCTGGCTGTCGATTGGTGGCATCCTGCGCATGCCAAATTGCAGCAATCAATGCCCAGTTTGCTTTCAAGGTAGCGATGCACGCAGCGTCTCCATTAATGGAACAGACCGTTTCTATTTTTGGAAACGGCGTATCCATTTTTGGAACATTGTTCCAAAAATGGAAGCGTTTCCATAAGTGGATCGGAAATACTACAGTGTGCCCGACTGATAATATTGTTGATTTGTTGAAGAGGATGCTGAAATGTATGAATAGAGCTCTGCAATCCTTGTTTTAATTAGTTAAGCGGTAAGCTACATAGAGTGACATTCAAAAGTGGGCCAAAAATCTTGTCGGACGTTTTTTACCTTCAACCTTGGGCGTTGTTGGCCACACCTGCTAGTCTTTTATTGCAGGTGAATAAAACCGCAATCAAATTTACATAAATCAAAATTACAGCTTATGGTGCTGCAGTGTACCTGAACGAACTTTCAAAACTGGGTGAAAACAGAAAAATGTAGGTGGTGACCCATGACAGTCTTCGAGTTATTCTCGATTTTGTAGAAAAAAGAATACTTGCCACGCAATGACAAGAGGGCTTTATATTGTTTAATGTGTATGCAATAGGTACATTAATTCGAGCCGGCAGGGAAGGGGGATGTTTTTGGCCACAAATGTCAGTTGTTTTCTTCTTATGTGTAACAAAAACCATGGCACGCAGTAGGAGATAATTGAAATGCTATTCTTTTAACCGAAAACACCCTCAAGCATTGTGGTTTTACTTTAAGGTTTCGGGATTTTTAGCCATAATGGCCTGTGGTACCCGATCTTATCGAGCTCCTGGGATTATGGCTTTACGAGATCAATCAGGATCAGGTACGGAGTATATGATGTGGGACCAGTGTGCGTCCAGTCTTGCCTTGAAGCAGTTCAGCGAGGGTGCACCAACCACCTCGGAGGGGAGTCCATTCCAGTCGTTCACGACTCGGGCGGCAAAGGCCTCACCCTCGAGGCTGCTGGAAACTTCTGGATTTTAAACTGATGTCCCCGAGTAACTCCTGCAGCCAGAGCGAAGAATGACCTGGGGTCGGTCGGCATCGACCCCTCTGTGAAATAGTTGGTATGTGAAGATCATATCACCTCTCAGTCGTCTATAATGCAGTGATGGCATCTTCAGTTCTTTGAGTCGCTCCGTGTAGGGTTTGTGGCGGATGCTCTCTACCAGCCGGGTTGCCCTGCGCTGAACTCTTTCGACCTGTCGCTGATTCGCTCTGTAAAATGGACCCCATACAAGGTTCCCGTATTCTAAGTGTGGGCGAACCAGGGTTTTGAAAAGAATGGGCAGCGTGACTTCGTTGATGAGGGAAAACGATTTCTTGATTACGGCGAGGAGCTGCGTAGCCTTCGCCACTGCTGACGCTGCGTGTTCACGAAACTTAAGAGCGTCGTCCACGTGGACACCAAGGTCTTTCTCCACTCTTGCACTGGCTAGGGGAAAATCGCCCAGAGTGTATGAGAATCCGCAATTCGTGCTTCCTATGTGCAGTACGGTAACCGCAGGTTGTTTGAAGTAGACAAACACTATTCGTTAGAATTGTGTTTTTCTATTGAAAAACAACCGGAGCGGTCCGTCTCCGGGCTATGTTTTGCAAGTCTGGCCGCGAATTGGGGCAACTTGACCGGGGCCTAAACGTGCATTGCGATTTCCGTAAAAAGTTCAGGGTATGGGCTTCCGGAGGCGATCTACCTGATGGCATCGGTCGCTACTCGCTTAAAACCTCGTGGCACGTGGCACGTGCGATTCCATTTTCCCCATGTTAAGTCAATGGGGTTTTGGACACTTTTTGCGCGATCGCGAATAGCGGAAAAAATCGCGGAACAAGGTATGGTTTGCTGCCCACCAT